TCAGAGAATGGCGAGACTCTCAGTTTGAAGAAACGGTTCTTGAGGTAATTCCTAACTCTCCACCTCTTCATATTGCACCAGAACCCCATACCTCACCTCCCAAATCTCCATCCCCTACACCCACAACACCTGACTACACTCCTCCACCTTCACCTCAACCTCCATCACATTCACCCACTCCATCACCCAAGAAAACCCCATCTCCAATCCATCAGAAATCCCCCTCTCCTCACAAAACCCCAACCCCTTCACCTAAGAAGCCCTCACCCAAACAACCATCACCATGTAAACCCCTCACCCCCATCAGAAACCGTTCACCATCACCACCACCATCTCCAAAACAATCACCCTCTCAACCACTATCCTCACCCCAGCAAACTCCTCTTCAGATTTCATCATCAGAGTCATCCCCCCAGGCTCCTCCTCAATCCCCTCCCAAATCTGATCAAGTTCTAGCCACCAGTCAGGCTCCTCAAAGCTTCATGGCTGAGATAGAGCACGTGGGACTCCAGCTTGTCAAGGGTATGAACAAGATTCTGGATGCTGAGTATACCACTGACAACCATCTCACCACCTATAGTGAAAAGCTAGCAGAAGGGATTAATGTGCTGCTCAAGAATGTAGGCATCATTGTTATGGCATTTGAACAGCACAAGGACAAAACTGCAGAGAGTCTGGGCAACATAGCTAAGGAAGTCGATGGAATCAATGCTGTCCTCTTTCATCACTCCAAGGCTCTTGAAGAGCAGGACAAAGCAATCAAAGGCATCTCTGATTCCATTGATGATCTCCAATGGTCCTCTGATAAAGCTCGTCAGGAGTTCCAAGATGTTGAAGGACTGTGCAAGGATACTAAAGAACTCACCATCAAGCTGATAAATAGTGGCAAGGACAGAGATCATAAGCTGACTCTCCTTGAAGCTACTTCTAAGGACATCCAATCTGCCGTGGCTAAACAGAAGGAAACTCTTGATGGACTGGCTTCTGTGACTGAGACTCTCCCAGGGGCTATTGAGACTGTAAAAGAAAATCAGGCAACAGAATTCTCCAAAATTGGACTTCTGCTTGGCGATCTTATTGATGCCAAAAAGGGGGAAGACAGCAGAGAACCTGTCCCACCTACCAGAGAAGCAGAAGGCCCAAGCTCCAGAGCCATTAACCCTGCTAGATACTATGAAAGAGCAAGGCAAAAGAGGCTAGCTGCTGGCATTCAGAGACCTCCTCCTCCTCGCTCAAAGAAGAAGAAATCTCCATCCTTCACATTGAACCAATGGCTGAACTGTGGGTTGTCTAAACCAGACATAGTCCAATTTGCTGAGATGAAAAAGCATATGACTCCCCTGCAGCGTGAGAATCTGATCCAAGATGAGAATGGCATCATCACCATTGCTCATGGAGGATCCATAGAAGAAGCTGAGGAATGGTGGAGGATGAGGGTTCTGCCTGGGAAGGATGAGAAGGATGCAATAAGGTATTATCTTGATTGCCAGCTAACTCCACTCTGGAAGAAATACATGATTCCCAGGAACCTCGCTTCAATCAGAGCAAGAGTAAATGCTGAGCTTCAAGAAGCCAAGGTAAAAGAAGAGGCTGTTCTTGCAGAGGTTGCAGAGGAAGATTTCTAAACTTTATCTCTTTTGCATTTCTTTTTTGTAAAACTCTGATTAATAAAAATAACCTCTCTGCCTCTAATTTGCATGGCTATATCATATAATGTGTTATTTATTGCTTTCTATCCTTATCTGTTTATTGCGTGATTGCTTGTATCTTACTCTTACTATTTTCCTATGCCAAGTGTCCACCAAGATTCTAAATGAAAGTTTACTTTTAACTTATTTTCCTTATGGTGAAAGGCACTTCTCTGGAAATAGTTTAAGGGTTTTGGCATCATCAAAAAGGGGGAAATTGTAAGGAATAAATGTAATTAGATTTTGATGATGCTATAGGATCAGAAAGTTAGAGTACCTGTTGGTCCCGTTTAATATGGTAATCAGTCTAGAGGGGGGGGGGTGAATAGACTGATTGGTTTTTCAAATTTTCTCTAAGTCCAAAGTGACTTATCAGAGAAGGTCTGATTCTGGTGACAGAGAAAGGCTGGTTCTGATATCAGAACTGGCCTTGGCAGCGGATTCTGATCTGTCCGAGTAGCCTCAGAAATACTAAGGCAAATGCCTTTCTGATAACTCTGAAAACAAGATCTGCTGAACACAGATTCCAAGTCTTAGAGTTAACAGTTAATATCCTAAGTGCAGAAATATAAATTGCAGTAAAGTAAATGACACCGGATATTTTTATAGTGGTTCAAGGAACAACGCGTTCCTCTAGTCCACTGTTCCACTAGCTTTGAAGTAGATCGGTTACAAAGCTTAGTCCCTAGCACTTAAGAAGTTCTCCACGCCTTCTTCAAGTCTAGTTGTCACCCGGGATGCAATCCTGCTTCCTGATGACTGGTCCTTTCACTCAGCTTCCCGGAAGTATCACCACTTCACTACTGCAGTTACTTGGACGCCCTTCTTTGCAGAAGATGTTCTGAAAACAGAGTTTTCTCCAACTTGCTTCGTTACAAGAGATATGTAGTTGAAGTTCTTGAAGTGTTAAAGAAACAGGATGAACTTTGCTGTGTGTTGGGGTTTGAGGTTATGGATATTAGAGTCTTCCCAACGTAAGCTTGTCTTGTTGAAGATTGTGGAATTTGAATCTCAAGAGAGCTTGAAAATATGATGAGCAAAAGTTGTAGCAAAGTTGTGTCCCTGTTCTTCGGTGAGTAGCTTATATACTGAGGTTGTCTGCCCGTTGGAGGAGGAGACAACTGCATTAAATGCGCGTACTGTTGACTTGACCGCCGTTTTGGAAGGTTTCTATTTTTATAATATATCTTCCCGGATTCTTTGGTCAATCATTTGCAATCAATCCTTCAGCGTATCAGGCTCATTTAATGTGCATTAAATGCTTTCCTTTCATGCACAGTTTTCTAGCCGTTGGATGTTTTTACCCGTTGGATTCATAGCTGTTGGATGTTGCTTGAAATCTTCTAAGTGTTAGTCGGGCGCTGATCAGGCTCTTCTGATGTGTTGGATTCTGATGGCTTCCTGAGTTCTGATGGCTTTCTGATCTCTGATTGAACTCTAACTCTGATTCTGATAGGTCCGCTGATGAGTACCTCTGATCTGTAACTCTCATCGGTTATCAGACATCCAATTTATCAGCAACTTTCATGGTGCAACTCTGATGAACTTCTGATAGGAGAACTCTGATGGAGCAGTTCTCACAGAGCAAGTCTGGTCGAGCAGTTCTGATGCACTTCTGATTTGATCCAAAACAGAGCAACTCTGATCGTCGACTACACTAATACTTACAATTGAAAATTCTAATACATAAAATCTAATTGGGGGTACTCTAACTTTCTAATCCTATAGCATCATCAAAATCTAATTACATTTATTCCTTACAGTACCCCCAATTAGATTTTATGTATTAGAATTTTCATTTGTAAGTATTAGTGTAGTCGACGATCAGAGTTGCTCTGCTTTGGGTCAGAACAGAAGTGCATCAGAATTGCTCGACCAGACTTGCTCTATGAGAAGTCCATCAGAGTTGCACCATGAGAGTTGCTGATAAACTTGGACATCTGATAACCGATGAGAGTTACAGATCAGAGGTACTCATCAGCGGACCTAACAGAATCAGAGTTAGAGTTCAGTCAGAACTCAGAAAGCCATCAGAACTCAGAAAGCCATCAGAATCCAACTTATCAGAAGAGCCTGATCAGACCCCGACTAACACTTAGAAGATTTCAAGCAACATCCAACAGCTATGGATCCAACGGGTAAAAACATCCAACGGCTAGAAGACTGTGCATGAAAGGAAAGCATTTAATGCACATTAAATGAGCCTGATACGCTGAAGGATTGATTGCAAATGATTGACCAAGGAATCCGGGAAGATATATTATAAAAATAGAAACCTTCCAAAACGGCGGTCAAGTCAACAGTACGCGCATTTAATGCAGTTGTCTCCTCCTCCAACGGACAGACAACCTCAGTATATAAGCTACTCACCGAAGAACAGGAAAATAACTCTTCGCAGAACTTTTGCTCCATTCATTACTTTGAACATACTTCTTGAGATTCAAACTTCATAACACTCTACAAGAAAAGTCCTACGTTGGGAAGATTCAAACCTCAAATCTTTCATCCCCAACAACGAGCAAAGTTCATCCTGTTCTTCAACACTTCAAGATCTTCATAACACATCAATTGTGACGAAGCTAGTTGGAGGAAAAACTTTGTGTTTTTCAAAGGATCTTCTGCAAAGAAGGGCGTCCAAGTAACTGCAGTAGTGAAGTGGTGATACTTCCGGGAAGCTGAGTGAAAGGATCAGCCATCAGGACGTGGAATTGCATCCTGAGTGGCATCTAGACTTGAAGAAGACGAGGAGTGCTTCTTAAGTGCTAGGAATTAGCTTTGTAACCGATCTACTTCAAAGCTAGTGGAACAGTGGACTAGAGGAACGCGTTGTTCCTTGAACCACTATAAAAATATCCGGTGTCATCTACTTTACTGCAATTTATAATTCTGCACTTAGGACATTAACTGATTAACTCTAAGACTTGGAATCTGTGTTCAGCAGATCTTGTTTTCAGAGTTATCAGAAAGGCATTTGCCTTAGTGTTTCTGAGGCTACCCGGACAGATCAGAATCCGCTGCCAAGGCCAGTTCTGATATCAGAACCAGCCTTTCTCTGTCACCAGAATCAGACCTTCTCTGATAAGTCACTTTGGACTTAGAGAAAAGTTGAAAAACTAATCAGTCTATTCACCCCCCCCCCCTCTAGACTGATTACCTTAGGCACGATCGTGCCTGGGCGAAAACAGTCCGAAATTGCCCGAAATCCTCCCGGTTCGACCCCAAAGCTTCGTGCAAAGATCCCAACGATTTGTAACCTCAATTTATGGACTAATTAAGGATAAAACACAAGTATACAAGAGGTAATACCTGCAACGGAGTCCGGGTTAGCTTGAGCATCCGCCTCCGTCATCGCATAGACCCTAGCTTGAGTCCTTCCTTGGTTCACGGATGGCGCGTTGCTCGCGCTTGCTCCCCCCTTGTCCCCTGGTTGCTTGGGAAGCCCCTGCTTGGCTCCTGGTCCCCGTAGTCCTACTACTCAACCCCGATGCCCTTGCCCCACTCAGTTGTGGGCAATTCATCTTCATATGCCCGGTGTTCCCGCATTGAAAGCATCTAGGAGGGTCGTGGCATTTTCCCAAGTGGCTCCTATTGCAATTTTTACAACGGGGTGTCCCCGGGGCTTGTGACCCCGAGTCATACCTGTTTGGGCCTGGACCACCCCTGGACGACAATGGGGGTGCCCGAAACGATCCCCCTCCTCCATGGTTCCCTTTCTTGTTAGAACTTTGCGGTCCGTGGCTTTCCCACTTTCTTTTCTCCTCCTCCTCGGCGTTCCTCAGCTTCCTTTCTTCCCATTGTTTCTCACCTTTCAAGCCTTGCTCAACCACTTGACTGAAAGTCATGTTAGGCAATTGTGTTGCCCTATCACGTACTTCCAAGTCCAAGGCATCCCAAAAGTGGCTGACCATTCGGTTCTCATCCACAACATACTCGGGTATGAACGCAGCAAGTTCTCGGAACTTGTGTTCGAGTTGTCGCACAGTGTACTTGCCTCCTTGGGTCAGTTTAGTGTACTCCCCCCTCTTCAAGTTCACCTCATAGTCGGAGTAGTATTTGGCGAAGAATTCCTGCCGGAAGTTCTCCCAAGTGACGGCCTCGCCGTACTTCCCCTTGACTCCATCCCACCATGTGGACGCCATCCCCTCCAGCAACCTCACCGCGACCCTTAGCTTAAACTCGGGAGTGAGTTGCATGTCAAGGGATGCTTCGTTCAACCTCTTGACCCATTCCGCGGCAATGGAGATGTCCCCCATCCCATCGAATGGTTTGCACCCCAAGTCCCTTGCCTCCTTGATGTACTTTGAGATTCTTATGATAGGAATCTCGTTGCCTCGGCCGCCACGTGGCTCGACGTGGGCCCTAGAGTCGCCATGGCTTCTCCCCCTTGAAGCCCCTCCCGAAGCCCGCCCTGCTCGGCGCCTTCGGCGTTCTCTCCTTAGCTCTTGTTCACGTTGATACTCACGTAGCAACGCCTCAATCCTTCTCAAGGATTCACCATTGTCCTCTTCCTCACTCAAGTCGTCATCATCCCCTTCAAAAGGGGTCTCAACTGGCTCAGTCTCCGATTGGTAGGTAGAGTCCTCGTGGGACCAGTAGGTATCACTCTCGGTGTCAACATGACCGTCGCTCACGGTCTGTGATCGACCTCCACGGCCAGCTCCTCTAGACACTCTAGAGGCCACGCGACTGCCTTGCCCGGTCGCAACTGGCGCTAGGCCAGTCGGGTTTCTCCTAGTAACCTTGCCACCACGGTCCATTTCTGAAAAAAATCGGAAAGAGTCGTTAGACTCATATCAAATGTCAATTGACGGATAGGTACTTAAGACACATTTTGGCTCGAGTCACCGCCATACCAATTGCTAAGGGTACCATCTTAACAATTAGAGACCTTGCAACCCAAGTACCAAAAGCTCTCCAAGTACAAAACTTCTATGCTCATGGTTTTCAAAATCTTTTCAAAAAGAGAATTTTGAGACTTCATTATGAAGTTTATGGACTAAGGCTCTGATACCAACTTAATTGTCACGCCCCGGACCTCCCCGGACACGTCGACAATCCGCCGTACAATACGAATAGTCAACCACAGTCCAACACATTCATATTATACAAGGCGTCTTGAATATCATTCACACGTATACATCCATAAACAAACATAATAAGTAATTCATAACGCAGCGGAAAACATTGTTTAAAACAAGAAGGCCACACAAGGAATTTCATGAGCACGCAGGCTCTATAGTAAAATATCCATGAGCAAATTTATTAATGTTTCAAATGGAATGGAGGAAGCACGAACCAAGTCTTCTCTCCTAGGAATCACTCGATCAACGAGCACAGGATGCAAGCTCTAGCCTCAACCTGAAATGGTGGTGGGACGCCCCCAAAGGGGTCAGTACTCTATACGGCTATAAAGTACTGGTTTGGCAGGCATCTAATAGATATACAACAAGTATTTCACACACAAGACCCTCAAATAGGGTGATAATATAGTTTAGGCTGTAATCCCAAATTACCTCTTCAAAATATATACTTACTTTATATAATTTTTTTTTTTTAACCCGGAAGGCCAACCACCAAAATCAGTGGGGCAAACGCCGGGGAACGTTTGCCGGTATTTTATTGATAGTCGAAAACCAGTACAATAAGAAGAGGGGGACTATACCAAAACCTCCTCCGAAGGGGCATTCCCCTTCGAAAAACAATAACCAGCAAAAACAAAGAAATTATTAGGGGGACCAAACCTTACCCAATAATCATACAATAAATTAAGAAATTTTAAAGTAACTCAAGCCCAACCTATCTGCTAGAAGAGTACGTCTAATGTGAGTAGGAAGCTGGGAGTGTGTAGAATAGGAAACCAACTCATCAGAAATAATTTTAGACAGGAAATGAGCAGTCCAATTAATATCTCGGGGATATACTTACTTTATATAAAGTCAAGTAGTCGGCTCAAAGGCCCATGTTTATCACAAAACATTTCCCAAACCCCGTGACTAATGGTCACGACATACATAGGGTCCAACCCTAATATAACTTCTCATTTCTAGAGTTCGGCTCGAGTACATCATCATGCACTCGCATCATAGATCTCCTACTTCATGTAATCATATCATAGATCTCCTACTTCGTGTATTCATCCCATAGATCTCCTACTTCATACAATCACACCATAGATCTCCTACTTCATACAATCACACCATAGATCTCCTACTTCATACAATCACACCATAGATCTCTTACTCTATGAAATCACAATTGACACTTGAATCTCATTCAAGGTCATCACAAACAAACTCAAACCTTAAGTTTGATTCTAACACATTTTGGACAATCCTTAACTAGCATCACAATACTATTAAGATTATTCCTACAACTCATTTATCATTAATGGTAGCCCCTCCATATCAATAGATATGTGGCAGCCTCCCATGTGTTAAGCATCATCATGCAATTATACATTTACATACACATAACATTCATACATGAGTTGGAAAGGTCAATCTACCATATTAGCATACTTCCATCTCACATGATTCCATATTCATCAATATGGTTTTAATTCATGATCAAGTCCATTACTTATCATTCATATCATGTTCAAGCATATTTATTCACAAAAACATGATTTAAGCATTTAGGTAATCTCATGCATAACCTACAAGTTGTAAGCAACTAGATGTCGGTCCTCACCTTAAAGAGCTTTAGACTTCCTTTCACGCTCCAACGACCAAGGCTCGGCCAAGGAAGGTTGCGAGCTAACTCCTTGCGTTAAAAAAATGAGTGGGCAGCAGCCTTCTCTTAGAAGCTGGCTCAGCAGCCGGCTCTCAGCAGTTGGCTCCACCCTCCTGCCACGAAACTAAACAGTCCTCTTGAAGAGGTGTTCCCCGGCAAGTTCACTTCCTAACCGTTCAAGGTTCATTTAAGGTTAGTGCCTAACCTTTAAACTCACATGTCTAACATTTCAAGAATACATTCTACCCTAAGAACAAAGTGGAATAGCCTCCTAAACCTTACATACGATCTATGTAAAGAAGAGGAAGTTTTCGGGTTCAACTCACCTCTAGAGAAGAAGAAACCCTGCTGCAGAGTCGTACTTTCCAACGCATATTTGGAAGCCTTCCTCAACTCCGATCGTCGCGATCTACACCATTCCAGAATCCTTGTTTTAAGAGCTTTCTCTGGACACCTCACACGCCTGATTTTAACGAGTGAAGCTCAAGATATGGGCTGAACAATCAACCCCTACGCACAGTGACGAAACTGCGAACTGCTCTCTCCTTTCTCTCTTTCTTTGTTCTGATCGGTTCTCTTCTCTTAGAAGCCAAGTAAATTCGAATGGGGGTACTAAGGCTGACCCTTAGGCCTCCCAAAAGGTTATTCCTTTTGTGTGGAGTGGGTTGAGTGAGGTGTGGATGATTCTCCACCAAGTCTTACTAAATAAGTACAAATGGGGTCCAACCCTTATCATTTTATTCTCTACACAACCCCACTCCATCATGGTCCGCCCCACAAGTCAACATACAATATTCTCTTTGTCTCGTAAGTGCCAAGGAGGTGTGGGACGCACCCCCTTCAGTCCAAGTCGGCCCGGAAGGAAAATCCTTACCGATAATTCCTTACGGAGGAAAATTGAGTGTTATTATTTGTGTCTTCGTAATGTGATTTCTCTCCATATAATATCGGGCTCTTATACTAACCAAGATGGCCCACATCAGTATTTGGAAACTCACTCACGAAACACGGATCCCAACGATAGGTTAACAAACACAAGTTACATCAAACACTACTCGTTTCACACAACGTCAAAGCATGAGTTACATAAGATAACACACGTGTTACACACGGCTGGTAATAACAAGTTCAAAACATCAATTATGAAACTTTCGAATAGTAAATTCGGGTACACACGGGTGCGGTGTCACAGACTAAGTCCTAAATATTGGGCTTAGACCCAAACTCAACCACAACAATTGTGAATTGCTAAGATCGGGATCCCGAATAGGATGACCTACAGTGGCTACTCAAATGGGCAAATCCCCCGACCAAACTAGTAAGGATCATGAGAATTGGCTAAGTCCAAAACATTGGGCATAGGTCTAGTTTCCACAGAGGCAGTTAAGGGTGGTCAGAATCCGGATCTCGAACAGGCGAACCGATAATTATGTTAGGACAGGATACATCAGTCGAGCAGATAGAGATCACGAAAATGACTAAGTCCACAGGTGAAACAATAAGAAAAGAACTACAAGTCAAAATTGATAGGCAAAAATTCCAATTGTATTCATCGGCTCTACTGGCCAGAAATTGCAAAAGTTTGTATGAAGGCAAAAAAGAGAAAGTACAGATAAATAACCAAATCTATTCTACTGTTCGGCGGCATCTTCCTCGTCTTCATCACCATCATCATCATCATCACCTTCATCTTCCTCATCAGCAGCTTGGTCAGACTCCATCCCCAAGGCTCGCCTACACTTGCCCAACTGGGCCTTTAAAGCATTCAGGTGATTGGCAGCCAGATGAGGGAAATCAGATGGCTGCATTGCTCGGCCTAGGAGCTTCTCAAGGAGAGGAAGGAGGGGCTGCAACATATGTTGGCATCCGGCACCATAAACCTCCCGAGCAAGTGTGTCGGCACACACCTTGGTCACAGGATCCCGGTCAAGCATCCGAACACCCTCCTTCTGACGTGCCTCCCCGCTCATTTCCCCCAGATGCCGCCCGAAGACAGCGGGGAGTTGCTCGAGGGCATAATCCTCCTTTAGAGCAGTAAATTCTTCAGAAGCCTTGAAATCCTCCCGGACGGAGGAAAGATCCACGCTCACTTCAGGAGGACCGTCCGGGATTTGCGAAGGCGCCTCCTTGAATTTGATTTGTGCGGCCTCAGCACCCGCAATCTTTGCCTGGAGGGTAGCCACCTGAACACAGAGCTCCCCAAGCCCGGCCTCGAGTTTCTTCTGCTCCTCAGCGAAAGAGAGGCATTCAGCCTCGGCCGCCTGCACACCCTTAGAAATGGCCTGCTCGGCATTTTCTTGGGCCACGATCAGGTCACGTTCCTTAGCCAGTCGAGCCTCTCGCACTTGCACGCTGTACAACCCCATCTGGAGCGTTGGAGAATAGTCAGAAACTCAGCACACGAGTTAAGAAACATTACACAAATGAAAATACCTTGAGAGCAGCCAGGGCAAGGCATTCCTCCGTACGCTCAACTGGAAGCTGAGGGAGCGGGAGGCCATTGAAGAAAGCGGCAGTGGACCAAATCTGAGATGTCGTCGCTCCACTGCGCTCCAGAATTTCATGAGCGGTATCTTCCAAAGAGATACGCTCGAACTGCCCAGCCAGGTCAGCCTGGTGGGCCTCTGCATTGGAACCCAGGGCAGAGTTAAATTGCCCGGGGAATTCTTGCAAGTGCTCAGGACCGAACATGTTGTCCATAAGCATATCACCCATGTTGGGCTGATCAGAAGCAACTTTGTGAAGGGGATGAACATCCTGAACAAGCATGGGTTGAACATCCTGAACGGGCTGGGATTGTTCCATGCCCTGTGAAGCGGCCTCAGAAGAACCTGCCCGAACGGCTTTCTTCGACCTCTTATGCTTTTTCCTTTGAGCGTCATCACGCTTCTCTTGTGGCTCCTCATCACCACCACCTACACAAAACAGCCTATTGTCGTCCATAACCTCTGCGGGATGGTTGGCTTCTTCGGGGTCTGGAGTTGCGTCTAGATTCGGAGCTGAAACAACACAAAGGAAAAATGTTAGTACCGAACGGCTTCAGCGTGTGTGAAACAACACAAAGCGTTTCTCGCACGGGGAGGACTGCTCGGGCCTTGGCACTTGATCTCAATCAAGTAAATCCAGGAATACGGACAGTACCTATCCCGACCTTTATAAGCCGATCGGGGGTCAGGTAGGCCCTGATTTTGTAGCAACCACCAGTCTCCACAGCAATAATGCCCTTGGTGAGTTCCTCGGAGATGAACGACTCAGGAGACTTCGGCAAGAAGGCATTCCATTTCCTTGGAATCAAACCATCCAGGACAGAGATAAAGAAAAACCGATCTTTCCATCCCTTGATTGAGGAGGGGCATCAGAGAATAGAATATGGCCCGATCGGGCACTTACAACTAAATACCCATGGGTCTGCTAGGGAATCATTGAGAAAAAATAGTGGAAGAGATCTAGGGTGAGTGTCACCTTAACATCCACACAGCGGCAGATGAAACCGGCCATGGCCCGATAGGAATTCGACATAATTTGGATCGACACTACATTGTAAAAATTTAATAAAGAAACAAAAAAGGGGGTGGAGCGGGAATCAAAGACCGGCTTTCACCGAGTCCAAATGGACTACCACCATCCCGGGGAAATGACGCATGGGGTAAAGCCCATCTTGAAGGCGGAAGTCCACCGGGTCTGGAATCAAAGTTGGGATTAGGGCCCTATTTGGGCCTGTGAGTTTTTGCCGTCGTAGCCGGATTAGGGTTAGATCGAGCTTCTGACGAGGAACATCGCCTGGAGGGTGACGTGCACTTTGTCGTGAGTGCACTCAAAATAAATCGATACTAACACTTATACGTAGTATAGGTGAAGTAGAGTTCGTATCCATAGGGAAAGGAATAATTCTCTTTTTATGAACTAGTAAATAAAGGGGGGGTTTTGTTTGTTGAGTGATTTAATTAAATTAAACACGAAGATGAACGAGTTATATGGGATTAAATTCAGGAATAAAAGGGACTTGGTCTTGCTACTTTCCACTTGTTGATATATTTTAGTCGATCATTGTTATATCTATAACTTATCCTCTCTCGAATACTCAATCGAGGAGTATATCCAATTCATCGAGGGTAGTTATTAACAACGACCGTTCATTAATAACCCTTACTATTAACCAAATATAAAACAACGCCGTATACCGATTTAATAGTAGCATTTAACCTCTTTAACTCCTTGATGAAATCAATTGAGATTGATAACCTCAACACAACGGTTTCGGTTTAACCAACAAAATTAATCCCTCTTAAGTTTATTAACCACGACCATGCATTAATAAACCGAAGTTACTTACTTATGAAACCTTCAACGTTTAACCATCGGTTCGTTGAACGTTTCTAGTAATAATCAATGTCGGAACGTTAACTAATCGTCACTTAGCTACCCTCCAACAATGATATAGAATGAGATTAAGGGAAGAATTAATAATCAAGAGGAGAAAGTAAGAAAATAACTCACAACTTTAATAATCAATCAAGCTTCAAGAGCAAAACCAAGAATTGGAAGTTTAGCTCCTCATTTGGAGACTAAACATGCTAAAATAAATATAAAGAAATGCTATTCTAAACTGAGCTTAAGTATATGGAAGAAGGGATGATTTTTTGTGAAGAAAAAGTGTGCTATTTATAGGTGTTTTTCAACACCTTTGGCCGGGTACCCGACCGGGTATAGGTACATACCCGACCGGGTACCGGTCAAAATCAGATTATCTCCCACGTTTATGTGTTTTCAGCACGTTAAATTGTCCGGGTCAAGTCAGACCCGACCGGGTCAAGTAAGGGACCCGACCGGGTTTGGTCAAAATCAGATCTTTTCCAAATCTGCAGCATGTTCTGGTGCTCCGGGTCAAATCTGACCCGACCGGGTCGAGTAAGGGACCCGACCGGGTCGTATTCTTTCCTCTTAGATCCTGACCCGACCGGGTTTCAAGGTCTGACCCGGTCGGGTTTTTGTTCCTGAGCATTTTTGTCTTCAGCTTTTCTTCCCTTTTGCTTGCTAAAAACTCTATCACTATTCTATAGCTAGAAATAGAAGGTAAAAACAATTACAACTAAAATAAAACAAATACTTACAAACTAACTAAAAGTGTTGGAAAGTCCACACAAGATCAATATAAAAACATACACTTATGCACTATAAACTAGTGCATATCAAACACCCTCACACTTGCACTTTTACTCGTCTCGAGTAAAATAAGTTCTGTTCAAGAAGTCCTTAAATGACAAGAGCAGCAACACCAACATCCATAAGTGTTTAAAAACAAATAACATAAAGTATCTCCAAAACCAAAAGAGTGAAAATGGGTCTTCAGTTTCTTCATCCGATGAACTTTGTATAGTAATCACCCTCAGGAACCTGCAAAATCAAAAGAAATACTTTCTCTCATTCTCTCATTTTGCCTAGGTGCCCTTTCAGGTTTTCAACCCAGCTTCCCACATTTTCCTTTTTGTTCTCACCAACTCACTCTTCTTTTTGCTTTTATTTTGCTTAAGTTGCCCTTTTGGGTTTTTCAACCTAACAAGCTTAATTTTTTTTTTTAAAGACAAGAATGAAGA